GGTGTAAAATAGGGCGAGAGAACATATACTTAACCAAATTCACTTTAGAAATCAAATAAACGGTTGCGGACCGTAAATAAACCCTTAATTTCGTACATGTGAAGTACAATGCAAGACATAATTTTTCAATGGCAGAGTAATTACATTCATATTTTGTTAACCGTCTATTCAAGTAGTAAATAGCCCTTTCTTTTCCAAATTGGTCTTCTTGCACGACCATTCCAACTATTGATTCTTGTTCAGCCGATATATATACTTTCATTGACCGTCCTTGGATTGGTGACACCAGCACTGGTGGACTTGATAAATATGTCTTTAGGGTTTCAAAAGCCTTTTGATGCTCTTCTTTCCAGACTAATTCGTCTTGATTTTTCAACTTTAAAAGCGGTGAAAAAGTTTTAGTTCGCCCTGCACAGTTAGAAATAAAGCGTTTTAAAAAGTTTACTTAGCCTAAAAACATTTGTAATTCCTTTTTTTTGCTAGGCAGTTTGGCCTTTAAGATGGCCTTCGCTTTATTTTTGTCAAGTTCAGTTCTCCTTTTGTGCACAAGGAAACCAAGGAAATTTCCTGCATTAACACCAAATGCACACTTCAAGGGATTCAATTTTAGTTTATATTGCCTCATTCGCTCAAATGAACATCTCAGCTGTTCAAAATGGACTTCTTCTTTAATAGATTTGATCACTATATCATCTACATACATCTCAACAAACTTGCATATCATATCGTGAAAAATCAAGTTCATTGCCCTTTGATAGGCCGCTATTGCATTTTTCAGGTCGAAAGGCATAACTACTCATTCAAAACATTCTAAAGATCTAGGGCATCTAAAGGCAGTTTTGTGTATATCTTCCTCAATTATATAAATTTGATTATATCCTGAATACCCGTCCATAAAGGAATATATTACGTGCCCGGCAGTTGAATCTACTAAAAAATCTATCGTAGGCATTGGATATTCATCTTTGGGTGTGACCATGTTTAGGTTCCTAAAGTCTATGCACCCTTAACTTACCATTCTTTTTTAGTACTGACACGATATTGGACAACCACTCAACGTATCTGGCTGTTCTAATAAAGCCTGCTTTTAATACTCGCTATATTTCTTTCTTTATCTCGAGAAGTACATTATGAGCAAAACGCCTAGGGGTTGTTTA